CTTTTTTTTAAAAAAAAAAAGTTATTCAAAAGGAGGGTACAATTCTTTTTTAGCACAATATTTAACTTCATAACAGCCAAATGGATGAAATCAGTCCACCAAAAATCTATGTCGACGATATTATAAAGGTTGAGGAACAATGTCCTCAGTTTTAACAGTTGAGGATCCATATCTACACTCCTTCAAAGGATAGGGATCACAGCCCTAATTTTCCCTCCTATTTGCCTAGACCAAAATGGCAAAAATACTGTCCTCTTTCCTAAATTAAATTAGACATTTTACAAAATTATCCTTGGATGATGCAACCACAAAATTCTTGGCCACCAACAATGGGAATAAATATTATAAGTTCTATTAAATATTCACTTTCTCCACTCTCACCTAAGACTTTAGGCCAAATGAAGTTCTGCAATTACAGACAAAAATGTGAAAAATACTGATAATATTTCATGTCAAAAATGCTGGAGTATACAAATTAACGCATCCACATAAATTTCAGGCAGTCGTGTACAGTGTAGGCTTAATTTCAATGAGATGGAGCTAAATATCAAGGCTCAAGCTCAATACATTTATCTCTGCGTCAACCAACCAAGGACTCATGACCGTGCCTTTTGCTATCCATTTATTTTACACTCCTCACTCCAAACCAACAACAGCAAACCAAGCCTTATACCTAATAAACTTGGGATCAGAAACACAAATCTTTTTTTGGCACATTCAACTAACTGCTATACCTATCCAAGGGTCTAATGGAATCAAGTCTTTTGCAATTACATCAACAAGTGTAAATTTTAGTCTACATCTCTCTATTCTTAAATGAAAAATTCGGCAAACTAAAAAATAAAGGAAAATAGAAACAGAAGGAACCCTTAAAGTTCTTCAAGTTTTCAATTTTATGCTCAATTATTTGCCCCAGCACTACATAACATCCTCCGGTTAGTAAGTTTTCATCTGTTCCTTAGGTTGAGCATTAAGGCAGTCGCCATTTTGATTTCATCTTTCCAAAAATCTTGAATGTCCCAATGAGTATATACCACCTGTCATCTTGTTCTAAACTCCTACTTATAAAAGCATCCCACATATCCTTCCATCTTCCAATCATTCTCAGACAGAATTGCACCCAACTACAACCCCATTGAACTATTTAACATCTGAACTGAAACAAACATTGGCTTAACAGAGATACCAAATATGCAGCAACTCAATACGTGTTCTATGGTTGGACTATGATATATAATCTGATTGATTAGCGAAAGTGATAATACGTTTGGTATCTGGCTTGGGAACCGGAAATAAATGCTTTAAAATGTTTGCTGTCCTTTGACCAGTCTGCCAAAAATTTACAGTTCTATAAGAAATGTAACCATTAAAGAACTTAGCCAATAAGTCACCACCACACCCTCCCATAAAACACATACCCACTCCCAGAATCATGACGCATCCCATGACTACAATACCTAGTCAGGTTCCCATTGCTTACATAATTATTTGGATTTATAATAGGACTCTGAATGTTAGATGCATGCAAAAGTGACCGTAAAGTAGTACCTGTTTAGTGAAGTTGTTAAGAATCAAATGTGGGTAAGCCTCAGGCATTGTTCCAATAGCCTTTTTGTCCTTGATATCATGTCTAGTAACCTACAAAAGAATGGTGGGTCAACATGTCTTGGACTACAAAATGGTGTGATGAAGCTTATACGGAAAGGCAGAATTACTTACCACATTGAGTAATCCAAAGTAAGCAGTTGGACCAAAAGGAAGATGGCTTATAATCATACCATCTGGCACACCACGATGTTCATGAACTAAAATAACATGACATTTTAGTACACGAAACGTCCATTCAATAATTTCAGAAATAACCTGAGAAGAATGGAACAAGGTTTATCAAATAGTTCAAAAGATGTATGGTTTGACGATAACATATAGAAAATTCCCATTTGGTCAAATCCAGTTGACTCATAGTGTTATCTTATTAAGCCAATACAATACATGTTCACACCTTGGTGACTTCATTAACCCAATAAACTATTGGAGGACAGGAAACAATATAAAGTAAAAACTTAATTAAATTTCATCATGATGTAGTAATATAAGGAATGACCTCCAGAAAGAATCTGTGAAATGGCACTACATTTTGGCTATTTGTAAAGGACATCAAGATGTTGTAAATAATCACTCCAATATTCAGATTGACATATTTTGTTCTCTCAAGTCCATAGTACATTCAATGATTGCTAATTGAAAATTGCTATAATTATGATCGTTACCATAGTGATTACAGTGTAAATCATTATTTAACATATCTCACTGTGAGGCGCAGCTTTTATGCCTTGAGGCTCAATCTGTGAGGCACAAAAAATGAGGCGCACGCCTCTACATCTGAGGCAAAAAAATGAGGCGTGCGCCTCATTTGAAATATGTTTTTTCAGGTTTTTGAAAAGGAATTAAAAAAGACCATTTTTAAAAAAAAGAAGGGCCTATTTAAAAAGACATTTTGGGCCAAACAAAATATTAAAATATCTAGAATACCAAAAGGCAGCCAGAAATCCTTCTACACGACAGACATAAATCTTCCTAGATGGCCAGAACTACACTGCAATCAGAAATCTTCCTAGAACTAAACGGCAACCAAAAAACTTATCTTCAATCCTTAGTTTAAAAGAGGTCCTCAAGTGCTGCTTCTATGTCTCTTTTCTCCTTTGCTTCTGCCTCCTTCTAGTGACTTACAATTTAAAATTGTTTCACTAGACTTTACTTGGTTTTTTTTGTTCAGTGCATCGCCACCAGATTGCACCTATTTTGTTCGGCAGATTGCACCTGTTTTGTTTGCGGTGAGGCTTACGCCTCAAAACGTTTTGAGACTTACGCCTCACCTCGTAACAAAAAAACGCATCGGTACCCGTTTACGTTTTTTCAAACTATGCTCTCAGTGTAGGCCTTGTCAACCTGATAATTCTACAATTCATCTCCACTACGCACCTAAGTTCAGTACAAGAGTATGGACCATGCCACTTTCAAAATTTGATTATTTTCATATTCCTCATATTATTTTCATTTTAATTATTTGGCTCGATTCTTAACAATTGCTAGAGCTTGAAAATTCCCACAAGTTTTCCAACATTGCAGCCAGCTCTCTGTGCATTCAAAGAACTAAAAGTTTGTTCCATATGATAAGACATCTAATAGAATTCGTAAAGCATCTCATCCCAAGTCCATATCTCTCATATCTACACCTCTAAACCTCCAGTTGAACAATTACCCCATAAACAATGCATTAAAAGCAACCAAAATAGAAAATTATGGAAAATAGACGGACCAACCTGAGCACCACGATTCATTCGTTGTGCATTGGGGAAGACAAACTTCAATTCCTAGGAAAGAAAGCAATTATCTATTAATAAATGATGTATGCAAAAACATAAAACCGAAAAGAAACAAACCATTAACAAATCCAAGTTCAAATAAACAGAGCAAAAGATTTGGAAAATTTAGAGACTAGCCTAACCTTTACAAACTGTGTAAGAGGAGCACTGGGATTGCGCGATGTGGTAAGCAAAATCTTAGGATCTCTATCAGCCGCATTTGCATATTCATCATCAATTGTTGAACGAGGAACTACATAAATACAATTGGAATCAGGATATCAGACACCAACAGACAAAATGGAATCAATTTTACCATGAAAATGAGAAGACTGCAATAATACTATAGCCGAACCAATATAATAGGCAACATGTTTATAGGGAAGTCAAGCATACATGTTCCTCTTGCGTTCAATCGGTCAGTGACATGGCTAGCTTTACAACCAAACAGATATTCTCATAGAACAAGGCTTATACATCTAATTTCAAGCATGATTTCCAAATGAAGAGCTTAGCTCCATCTTGTTGGATTTTCATCTTTCCCTTGATTGAACAAAGCTATATTAAAGAACGAAAGGGGGGAGAAATGGAATGTTTTTTCAGTACTTTAGTAAAACTGGTCCCTTTTGATTCACGATTCGTTCTTTGGGATCTTATGTACCAAATAATACTCTGGCTGGTCCATTCTAAAATGACACGAGAAGGGATATCAACTCAACCCATGGGAAATCATACAGAGGCCTACTTTATAAAACTTACTAAAAAGGACACCACCATATAGATCAAAGTTATGTACTATATAATATATGACACATAAGTAATGGAGAATGTAGGATCACTTTACAAAAAGTATTTTCAAGTGGAGGAACCAGTGGCCCCGAGGATTTATTAGTCAGTGTCAAAAGAAATTATAGTCGTACTTTCTACGTTGAATGATGACACATTTGTGAAGCAGGTGCATTCAGATTCTTCTAATGGCACCTTATTCAGGAAGGAGATTGGGCCTCAAAAGTCACAGTAAAGAGAGATCATTAGCCCTCTTCATGTGTAGGGTTCGAGAGAGGTGCCACCAACAAAGATCAAGACCATCCTACTGAACCATCCATCTAGAAAAAGGAATGTAGGCAGATATCATCACTAGGCTAATTACTGTGAGAATGTCCTCGTCTACTGCACACACTCTCAGAAAGTCAGGGATAAGATTTTGGTATTTCCATATTTGTAGCACTGATCTTGTTCTCATAAATGAGTAATCATAATCTGGCTGCAAGAATTTATTTACCTTGAAACCTTCCTACGTAGGCGCAGACCTCCTTCAAGATAATAAGAAGAAAAAGGATTGTTGTCCATAAAAACAGGCTCTTCCTCTTTATCAACAACAATGAGAATCTGAGGGTTTGCATACTTGACTCATGAAAGACAATGACAACAGGTTTTTCAAAATTGGGCTGGGTAATTGGGTTAGCACCCCTCATTGCTTCTGTAATCGAAACAGAAGTCTAAGCAGAATTTGTATAATTTTTGCTTGCTAACTCAATCTATTAATGTTATATTATGATAGGTTAGGCACGTAATGAAAATAATTGAATGTTTGCATGTCAGCAGTATAAAAGCTTTGGGGTGGTGAGTGAGAGTTCTGAAATTCCATTAAATCAATTTGCAAGAAGAAATTAACATTGCTTGCAAAGTTCTACATATAGCATTTCCATTATTTTAATTCGTAGCTGATTAATTGGAGATCAATATGTCTAGAACAAAACAGAACCCTTGCAAAGCTATAAAAAAAAAATTCGAACTCTCAATGACAGCTTCCAACACTTTGATGTGAAATGCATTACTATTAGTTCAGGAGGTCAAAGTTCATAAGTTTGCAGTCACCTAGACACAACAAAAATAGTGATGATACATCATACACACTCACTACAGTACGAACCCAATTTTATCTATGGGATTTTTCTTTCATGCTAGGTTACAGTGAAAAGCTTAAAACAAAAATAATATTGTTAAACCAATTGGACTTCATTGGAGCAATTTTAATTGCAAAGTTTTGAGCAAAATTGAGACAGATAACAGCAATTTCATTCACAGAATACATCATATACAAGCAAAAGAAGTCAACTTGATGCTTATTCATCCATCCTTTATGGTTCTCAAATGTTTTCACTCATCATTCATTCGTCCAAATTCCATTGAAAAGAAGCCTCTGTTTTCTTATTGGTTATCCTCCTAATGTATATTTTAAAAAAGGCTCTCACATCTCAGAACAAAGAAATAAATACTACTGTACATATTGAACATATGAGTCTGCCTACATTTCTTCATTTCCGAAACCCAAGTCTGGATAAAGAATTAAGGTTGTGGTCTTAAAATTTTAGGGCATGAAGCCTTTTATGCATATTATGTTTATTCAAGCTATACATCATAGAATTGAAGGTGCATACCAGCCGTGTTTTCATCTTCAAGGTCAATTTCTTGTCGAAGGGCTGCCTCTTCATTCCTGAGCTCAGTAGGAATCGGTTTACCCTCTGTCCATAAGCAAATAAATAAATTAAAACCGTTAGCAATCTACACATAGATTTGACAATTTTATTATTATTATTATTATTATTTTTGCTTTAGGTAAAAATAATTGTAACCTTGATTAGTATTTCTTATTTTTCTAATTAACAGTTATTTTACCTTCCAAAGCTTCCCTGATTTTCCGCTTCTTTTCGTAGAGCAAACGCTCTTTGCCTTCCAAGCTTTTCCTGTAGAGATACTCCCTCCTTAGCCTCACATTTCTTTTCAACATTTTCTCAAACACCCGAAAATTATCTCTGGTTCAACTCCGATTTCACTAACTTAATAACCCAAAAAATTAACAATAAATCAAGAATTTCACTCCCATTACACGTACAGATATATACCTGCGAGAGGTTGGGCGGCAGGTAAAAGCCTAAAGCAGAGAGAGGGGTTTTGTTAGGGTTTTTGTTGAGAGGGTCCCTGTATTTTTCTTAATATCAAATAGAGCACCATGAAAAATTGAAATTTACAATTTTCCCCTGGTTTGTTTGTCATTTACATCTCACCATATATCGAAGGTAAAAGTAATAAATCATAGTCGGACGTAAACATAATTTCGATGTTTTTATTCTTCTTTCGTTGCAGTTTCACTTAGTAACTTGTACTCCACAGTCTACAGAATATGCAAAATGACTATAAAATACCCGTTTGGCCTCCATTACTTCCCATTAATTCTCATTTTTCAACCCTCTCACGTTTTGCTATAGTATCTATGGCAAGCACACATCATTTTACATGTCAGAAAAGAATAAATTTCATCCAGCCGTTGGCATTCAAATGGACCATTAGGCCATTGTTTTTTTTATGAAAGATGACACAAATAGAAGCAATAATGAAAATTTGTATTTATAGCCGTGGGGAGCAAATAATGCAATCCAAATGATTGCAAAGTAGACAAATTGAGGCCCTGTTTGGTACATATTATTTTTTTCATTCTCATTCTTTTACTCATTTTCAATCACACATTCTTCAATAAAATAATATTTTCCATCATATCAATAACGTTTCATTCTTTTTCAACCACACATTCTCCATCAATCTACTATTCAATAATACATTTTTTCAAAAGAATGTGTTCCAAACACACTCTGAACATTAATCACAACATGAGGTGAGCCCGTGTTTGTTGAAAAAGTGGCACCATATAATATGTGGAATGTGAGATATTCACTATTTTTGCATTTACATTTGTATTTTTGGGACTTCTGGTTTTAAATAACTTAAAGTGCGTTTGATTGTCAATATTTTTCATATAAAATGTATTTTTCCACCTAATTTTCCACTTTTGTATTGTTTAATTTAAAAAAAATTTCATATAAAATATTTTTTTTACTTTTGATCACATGACCATATTTTCCTATAAACAGGGAAAATATTTTCTTTAAAGATGTGTGATTTTTATTTTTCAAATAATTCTCTCTCTCTCTCTCTCATCCATCCACTTTCTTTCATCTACGTACCAATAAAAATTGGTCAAGTATAATAATTTCTACATTTAAAACTAAAGCAATTAAGCATATTTAATTAATAATATTCATAAAAATAATTTCTAGGCAATTGAATTGTCTGTAATTTATTTTATTTTCATGCTCGCAATCAAATGCACTCTTAAAGTTGTATGCTCATAGTTGTGGACTTATGGATGGTGGAGTCTAGATTAGGGGTGTATTCAGAAATTGAGGATATAGGGGCTGAAATTTATAATTTAGTGAAGTTAACGATTGATCTATTTGTTAGCTGTGCACTTGCGTGAGTGAAATCAAAATGTGTATCACAAAGTTCAAATAATATTAAGTGTAAGCGAGAACATATAAATTACTGCTATCACAAGTAGCAAATCCAAGATTGGAGGTCAACTATGGCAGTTGTTGACCGTTGACCTTTAATCGTAGACACTCAATGGCCATAACGACGAGGTCCTTCTTTAATATTTAATTAAATAATATTAAAAACTCTTCAATCTATATGTAAATGAATTAAAACGTAGAAATCATATATATAAAAATATATAATTCAATACAACCCAAAATAATACGTATGAAAATGTAAATCGCGGATTAAATGTAAATTAAACCTTATTTTCAACTATCACCAAGTTTCAATTTTCGATTTCCAACACCAATTTATCATTTATCACAAATTTCCTACACCAATTTATGATATATCAAAACAAATAAAATTAGTTTATTTCACTTACATAAAAAAAAAAAAATGGTACATGAATTCATGATGCATGCACAAAAGAATTTCAATTGAAGTCTTACAATGAGCTAACATTTAAATTACCCACAAAAATTGTAATATCCCTAGCAGAAAATCGTATAAAATTCCAAAAAAATAGAAAACCAAAAGTCAAATTTAGAAACTGAACATTAGTTAGTCTAAAACACTATCATCCGTGAGGGGTGTAGTAACCTTATTAAGAGTATTTTTTTCTTAATCTGTAAAACACTATAAAAACAAATTTAAGAAGATGAAAAAAAAAAATCAAAACACTATAAAAGATTCGTTTTTGAACATTAGTAGCCAAAACAAAAATTTAAGAAAATCAAAACTTAATACGTAACAGTAAAAATAAAAATAAAAATAAACCAGAAGTTTCACATTCACAAAATTAAACAAAATACAAACACAAAAACAAATTGAAGAAGATAAATGAAAAAAAAATTTACCGGCAGTCAGCGGTGAGTAAAGGTGGGCATGGGTTGGGTTGAGTCGGTTTTTGCTCAAATCCAAACTTAACCCAACCCAACATTGTCGGTTTGTTCGAAATCCAATCCAACCAACCTATGTAAATATTGAAACCCATCCCAACCCAATTATGAGTCGGTCGGGTTGAGTTGTGTTGGTCGGTTTGAGATAAACTTATTGCATAAAAATTAAAATCATCCAATTTTTTGATGTAAAATAACATTAATATAGCCATTAGCCATCCAATGTCAATGAACTTGNATGTAAAATAACATTAATATAGCCATTAGCCATCCAATGTCAATGAACTTGAAAAATAAAATAGTACAATCCAAATGAAACGGGAAATTACGTTTTTATTACAGATAAAACTGAATTTTGAAAAATAGGTGGATAGAAACAAATAATGCAGTGCTGAAAGTTTAGGCCAGAATATTACAAAACAGAGCAAAAATTCTATGGAATCCATCTTCTTCATCACCATCATATCTTCCCCTTTCCAAGTTAGATTCTACAAATTCATCGACTTTCCAAACAATCAAAGTTTGTTTTCTATCAATTTTATTTTAGACTACTCAAGCAATCCGCCTATCCCATGGAACTTCAAATTATAAGCATTAAACTTTTCATACTCACAATTTATTGAGCAAGTACACTTAACTTTTATATGTGTTCATGTTCATCAATTCTAACATTCATTAAATTATGAAATGTTGGTAAAAGGGCGTTCACGAGTTACCTTTTTTGTCGACTCAGATGTACATAGGTCACTTGAAGGATGGCTCCTTCGTCGCGATTCTATGCCTGAAAATGAAAAGAAACCATGGCATTCAACACTTTATGCCTCGCATAGAATTAATGTCAAATAAACTTGATCTATTGTGTTAACACAGTGAATTTTAGCTATACAGTTTTGTATATAACAGTTTGCAATCGTTCAACGTCTTATTTGGCAGAGAAGCAGATTAAACGAAAACTTACTTGGGCACGACGCATTGCAGCTGCGATAGGGAAAGGGTCGGGATGGTTGGAGAGGAGAGATAGGGGGATTGAATTTGAGTGAGAATAGCGCTGTCTGTGGGTCGGTTCGGTTCTGAAGAGCATCGAGCCAACCCAAAATTTTCGGGTATTTAATAAATGGAACCGACGGGTCTAAA